GCACAATAACCGAAAAACTCACCAGGTAAGCCAATAGCAGAAAGAGCAGAAGGAATAGCATATGTTACCAGTTGTCGAATGTTCCAGAGTCAATGATCCAAATATGAGAAGGAGAAGCACAATAACCGAAAAACTCACCAGGTAAGCCAATAGCAGAAAGAGCAGAAGGAATAGCATATGTTACCAGTTGTCGAATGTTTTGCTCAACCATAGATGCCAGAGAATCACGTTTAGCAAAAGAATCGCCACTATCGGAGGCCATTTCAGCAAGAGAACAGCAGTCCAGGCACAAGGATATCAAAGACAACCAAATTCAGTAATCAAGAAGATGACAGTCCAAAAAAGACAAGTTTTTAAGACTATCGAGTCTAAGGCCTTTCAAATATGAATCTGAAGTCTGAATCAAATAAATAGGAGGCAAGAAAACCCTAGGACAACACCAGATCTAGGGTTATAGGTTGATCAAGTCAGCCAATTGAGAGAAATCTGTGATTTACCAACACATTAGACGTCTTCTTCACAAACAGGGAGGTATCTTATGATGATTGAGGCAGTCTTTAAAAACTCCAAACCAGAAACTGAGTGTAGGGTTAAGGAGAGCTTGAGAGAACCCTTCAATCTAGAGAGAAAAACCTAAATCACAGGCTGATGTTGAAGGCCTGAAGTCCAAAAAAGGTTGCAGTCCAAAAATGGAAACTGTAAATGCTGCCACCCCAAGAAGAAGATCAGAACCCCTTTGAAAACTTCACCAAATCAGATGTTGTTTGTAGGTGGAATAGACCAGGTCTAGGCGACACCAGATCTAAAGTCCAAAGCTGTTGCAGTCCAAAAAAGGAAACTGTACAGTGTTGCCACCCCAAGAAGAAGATCAGAACTTCTTTGAAAACTTCACCAAATCAGATGTTGTTTGTAGGGACAATAGATTCGGTCTAGGCGACACCAGATCTGAAGTTTGGCCTCAAACCAATGTCTCCCAAGAGAGATCTAAAGAAATCTCTCCTGCTGGTTGCACAAAGAAGAAAGAGCAGAAAAGGGTTGATCAAGACAGCCCTAATACGACAGGTTTACTGCTTCTAGTAAGGTTCAAGAGAGTGAGAAAATAGATCAGAGAGCAACCTGCTCTGATACCATGTCAACA